TAGTGAACTAGCCAATTAAATTCTTTAAAAAATTCGTTATAAGCTTATAACGAAATTGATATCCAGATCCTAGAATTTGTTATATCAAGAGTTCACTGTATAGGCTATCTCTCCTCCGGTTTATAAAATGAATCATACTAAAACTTTATTTTAATATTTTGTTGCTATGTGTGCAGTTTCCTTTTCATTACAGTCAATATCAACTCTACCTTTATTATTTTCCTTAATTTCTTTTGTTTACTAAGATTATTATTAAACAGCTTTGCACAAATGAATAATAGGATGTATAGTAAGTATTTATTTTCATTATAAAATGAATATAATTCAGTTTTCAAGCAAAATTTTAGTTTTAAAAATTCTTTTGTGGTAAGATTATAATAAAAAGAATGGTCAAAGATATCAACTTTAAATTCAATTCCTTATATTTTTTGATAATTTTTTTTAATTAAATATTTATCTAACTGTAATGAACTATAAAATTAGTAAATTACTGTAAATAATCAATTATTTCATGTAAGCTATTGCAACAAATCAATACTACTGATAAATCTTTTGAATAATAACTCTTTAGTTATTAAATAACGGAAAGACTAATAAGAAATTAAGATAGAAAATAAAATATTTTCTCTATTATACGATAATTAGCTATTAATTTTAATATTGAATGCAAATAAGCTACTAATGTACGATCAATACAAATAAAGTATATTATAAAAAAATATAAATCAATCAGACTTAGCATGATTCTATAAGGCTATGTAATAAAATATTTTATTATTTCATTATTTACCCATTTATTTAATTTTATTTTAGGGTCCGATCACTTTGAGTTGCTTGCCTCGATTAAAAAATAGTATGTTTACCTTTTTTCTTTAATTTCTCAATTAAAGTAAATTTTTATGTCAATAGTTCTAATATTGTCTAATTTTTCAAAATAATAATTAATTAAAGTTAAAGGTGGATCTATGGAAAATTAAATAAATAAAATATTTTTAAAAGAACTCGGATAAACAAAAGGTCGAACAAGTAAAGCATATTTAAAAGTTAAAAAGTTAGTTCATATACTAGTATTGGCAGATGACCTTGAAATGACCTCAAATGACCTCATTTTATTATAAATTTCAAGTCTAAATGAAGAAGGTAATTTGAAAAATAGAAATGATCTTACAATCCATAACTGCCATGTACTGTACAGTATATAATGTAATTATGTCTATAAACAAATAATTGTAACAACACTAAAAGTGTTCAGAGCATTGTCGAATTCTTCACGATATTCATTATGAAGATTTATTAAATCTTCTGTGGCATCAAAAGTCCAAACTATTCCAGCCATATTTTAATAATATTAAATTTGTGTTTGGAGAAGTTTAAGTAAGAGAAGACAGAGAAGACAGACTTGTTATTCCCTCTTCATCAATATTTCTTTTTCATCTAGTAAAAATCCAGTCATAAAACTAAAACCCAAAATACAAATATCACCCATTTATATCAATTCTGAAATATCAACAAGCTTCGATTCAGTGTTAATCAATAAGACCAAATAAATTAATAAATAATATATAATTATAAACAATATTATTATAACATCACACAATCTTAATTAGACAAATAGATAAAGAAAAAAATTTAAGTTGATCTATTATTATCGCCTTCACTTTCTTTGTATCTCTTCTAAAAAAAATAAATAATATTTATTATGATTTATATTACAATAACAAAATTATTTGAAATAACCTTATGATAAATATTTATAATATATCTAAGTCTGTAAACTTAGCATAAAAGTTATAACAGCTCAATATTGTATTGGAACAGGTCAAATTTAGAACAATTTGCAGTAGATCATAGTGTAATCTACAGGTAGTGGGATAGCTACGTCAAATGATGACAGTTGGGTTGAAGTTGCGGTTGTTGCTACTGTTGTGATTGTTGTTACTTTAGTGTTATGATTGTGATTGTAATTGCGGAAGTCATTGCTCTTGCTATTGTATTACTGTTGCTAGTGGCGTCGAGTTGCCGCAAGAACCTTCTCGCATAAATCTTTTTATGGGTACCTAATAATTTTTTTACTCATGTATCTATTTAATTATTGGTGAATATATGTAAGTTAAAGAGTTAAAAATTTCAAAAATAATTTGGAAGAGAGGTAAGAGTAAAAAAAAATGTCATATATTATCGAACTTTCAAAAGGAAGGAAATAAAAAAAAATTTTTTTTTTGCTATTTCTACTTGCCTACCCATATATTTGTCACAGTTATATTAAAAAAAACGGGGAAAAAGTATTATTTTGCATCATAATAGTCTTTTTGTTGCCAAATTTAGAAAGTATAAGTAAAAAATATATAGTACAATAATATAAATAATTTTTGTTAACTAATAATTGAAGAACGTTACAGTCTATAAATTTTTGAATGTTAAAGAATAACAATAGTAAGTGAAAAGTGGTCTAATGTTGTTATTTTATTTTTGAACCTTCTTTTTTATTATTATTAGTCATAAGTAAAAGGAATCATTATTGACCATTCTTTTTACCCATTACAATTAAAAAAAATTTTTTTTTGTGATTTAACAACATCCTGATTTCATTAGTAATTAGTATTTGATTATATTCCGAAAGCTTGCATTGATCAGAGAATTCTTCATACGAAGTATTCCTATGTTAAAAAAATAATAATAGCTTGATAACAATCTACTGACATCTTAAAATCGACCGCTGAAATATAAATAGGTCAATTGTAAAGAAACCATTATCAATAGGATGGAACATATCTATTTTGAATTGTATCTGGTTATATTAAAAAGTGAAGTTATTTATATCCTTCTTGTTTATGGCGTATATATGAGTATGATTAAAATCTAAATTACAGTCACTTTGTATATGTCAAAAAATCAAATCTTCTGGAAAATTGATTAATTGTCTTGCAAATCTACAAATAAAAAAGGAATATTGCTAAAAAAATCTCTGGATTATTAACAGTAGCCTCTCGCTAAGCTTTTTTTTTTTTTTACCCAGAGTGGCGATATATGAGTTAAAAATTTTAAAAAATAATTTGGGGAGATACTATAGTGTAAAGGAAATGAAAGTTAAAAAAAAAAAATTTTTTTAAATCATGTCAGCATAAATTTGTGATTTATTCTTGATTGTGTAAGCATATGCAAAACAATACAATAAATTATTCCAGTCTCAATATGAATGCTATAAAATAATTTATAAATATATTACGAATGGATCTTTCAATTTCTACTAATTGTAGGTCTTGGGGCTATAATATGGGTGGTGTGTGAGGTACAGATCATATGATTTACTATGTCTCGTATCTCAATTTTAATAGCATTCCACCCATATATATCCAATGAAATTGACGTTAAAAATTTAAAAAAAATCCTGTATATTCTTCAACTTTTAATCCTAATTAAAAGTCTGACTATGACGATGCAATGCCTAATAAGATCAATATATGAGTCATTACCAAATTTAGACATATTAGCATTACTTAATAGTACTTTACTTAATATTTAATAAAAAATTTTTTTTTTGTTAGTATTTTATTATAATCAGATTCAATATGCCCAATTGGACATGATGACAACGGGTGACATATTTCCTCTAATCACTTGACATAATGTTATCCGGTCAATTTGTTCCCTGGACAATTATCTTCGAAAACTTAATTCGTGATCTGCCTCTGAACTAGTGAAAATTATTAATACATTTCAAGGAATTACTTTTGTAGATCAATTATCCCTCTGGTCAAATTTGGTCAGAATTTTTTTAAATACAAGTGTTTTATAATAATGTTCTGAAGTATATTGAATGTTATGTGACGTCATCTAGCCATTAATTCATGATTTGATATGCATATACTTACCATTTAAGGATAAGATAGTAATCAAATAGTAATCGAATTAGTAGTTTTTCCTAAAGAGTAACTAGTCAAATTTGTGTTGTAACCCCAGCTAAAAGTAGTGTAACCAATCGTATAGAACCTAAATAATTAAAATTCGTCAAAAATTTTTATATAATGTGATCGATTAAAAAATTTTTTCATTTACAATGCTGGATTCTGGCCTTTAAACATGTTGTGATCGAAAATGCAAAAATTACAAAAATGATATTTTTTATTATAGTATTATTCAAAAACCAGTAACTATTGTTTTTAAAAGTTACAAACGAAAAAAAACCAAAAAATTCTATCAAGTTATTCATCTGTAGGCCGTCTAGCCTGTTATACCATATTTTGCTTATACTAAGCAGCATATCTAGCTATTCAATTTTGAATTGTTGATACTTTCAGAATATCAGTTTCCTCCAAACTGCCCTCTTCTGCTAATTTTGTAAGTTCGTTCCACATTTCTTGTTCGTTATATCTATTGCTCTTATCCAAATTTCCTGCTAAAAAGTATCTTTCCAAAAGAGCTACGACATGCTTGCTAATTCTTTTACTACCTCCCTTTTTTCTGAATTTCTGGTTTTCCTTTAGGGCCCAACCTAACTTGAGTGGAAATTCTCTATGTAAGCTTTTATTCATAGTACTGTAAGTGAATTGAATGATGTTTGCAAAAATAAATATTATCTAATATACCTTATTTCTCTGTCTAGATTTAACATATCGGTAGATAATAGTTGATTTTCTTGAATTTCTAATAATAACATTATTAGTCAGAAACTCGGAAGCTATGCTAAAGTAATTTTGTTTATAAAATTATCATACCTGCCTTTTCCATTTCCTGTGACAAAGCATTCTCTAACAAAAACACTAAATCATGTTTATTGTTTACACCTTCATAGCAAATCCCTCAATTTGATAGATGATTTTTTAGTTGATCTATCGTTAGACAATTAGGATAAATTCCTGAAAATAATAAATTAGCTTAATATACAGTATGGTAATGCTAAAAATACTGAAAACAATGGT